TGCCTTACCTATGTGCTATAACTGCTTCGTGCTCGTCAACAAGAGTAGCAAGTGCAGCACTTTCAATAAACTAACGGAGACTAATCACTCAATTGCTCGCCTAAAAAAGAGTGAATGATATGACTTGAAAGAATCTGTATAACTTTTTCAAACTTGCTTTCGTCTTTTGCAACTGGCTGGTATGATAATTGTTCAGGACCTACCAAATCTTTCTATTTTAAAATTAAGCGCTCAAAAATTAGAAGCTCTGTATAAGCAGTTCTTCTTTAAAAAGCTTTTTTAAATAAGCACAAAAAATTTAAAGTTTTTATGCATTAAAAACTTACTTTCTAGAGATTGTATAGAAAAGGAAATTGATATGAAAGTTTGTTTAGTGGCCTTCTGAGGACCTCAGCGTTTGCCGAAAGAATCAGTCTGTAGGAATCAGTATGAAAGTTATCGTTAGCTCTTTCCTTCTAAGTTAAAACTAAAAATTCTTCACGTTTTAGAAAACGTGAAATTGTGCAGTTGGTAAGCCATTCAAAATTTTTGGATTTTAGCTTACAGAGAAGCAAAAAACAATTTTTCTTTTTGATCAGCAATTCGGAAAGCTATTGAGAATGACAAAAGCAGAGCAGAATAAGCGACGCGCTTGCTCCCTTCGTGCACTTTATTTGATGAAGAAATCTATTCCTTCTTACCAAAAAATTTTCTGCAGAAAAAAAAACACTTTAAGACAAAGCGATCGTCCCTAAAAATTCAACCTTCGCTTAACAGTTTCCTGATTACATAAAGCTATACTTAACTGCGTAGGAACTTTTTTGGGAATTTCAATTAGTATTCTAAAAGTGATTAACTGCATTTTTATCTTTTGCGTGAACAAAGTTGATGAACGGTCTTTTTACTGTACAAATTTTTAAGATACATTTTTTTAATGTTGAAGTCTTCAGAATTTATGTTTTCATCTTGTTGCCTGCTTTAACTAACAATTCAGCCTGCCAAAAAACAGTGAAAAAAGATCCTTAAAAAACGACTTTTTAAGCTTTGGTCTGCGAAAGCAATTCTGGCTTTCATTGCTGACTTTTTCGGGTTACCTAAAAATGAGTAAATAAGAGGTTGCTATTGAACCAGCATTGTCATTATCTAAAAAAATGGTTTGATAATGACACTTCAGCAGTACAGTGAGAAGCCAGTTAAGAAAGCCAGCGGTACTTACTCAACTGTGACAGATTAAGTAAAGAAGTAACAACCTTTACAACCGGTTGAAAAAGGGTTCAAAAAGTTCTGTACTGCTTATGACAGAAGTAAACATGTATTCGCTCAATCTCGTGCTTCTAAATTTCCTGATGTGGCAGGAAACAAACGTCAAAGCAGGCTGAATGAAAAAACGTGATCGTCAATTCCCCGTCCGAAGACGAGGTTCCAAAAATTAACGTAAACTCATGAATTGTCCTTCTGCACGGAAATCTTTAGTAAAAGGCGAAAGATTTTCTCGGCTAAATGCAGAAGAACAAGAGATAAGGATTACTGCCGCATCAACAGTTAATGCAGCGTTATCTAGCAACTCTTGATGGGTTTCAAACTTCTTTCGATCATTGATGTTGTATTTTTCAAGGCAAACCTTTGACAAACTATCGACAGGGAGACTGCGTTAGAGTTCTGTTTGGCGGTCGTCACATTATCTCTAAGGACCTGTCCAAACTGTACTGCAAATGAGGAGACAGCATAGAAGGAAATTATTAGATGGTAAGATTCTTCTAGATTTGGTAGAGACGTTTTCGACCTTTAAAAATAATTTTGTAAAAAAAAAGTAGCCAGCGGAAGATACGGAGTTTTTGACTTTTATTCTTCAGAGGAGAGAGATGCGGAGATGATGGCAACATAGAACTAAATAAAAACAAGCAGCAGAAACAATTTGAAAAAACAGGAAACGAATTTGCGGAAAACAGTCGGACAAAACTTGGCAGTTTAAGATACAAATTTCAATCTCACCAGCCTTCTAATCATATTCTCAAACCTCATAAGTTGATCAAAAATAAGCCTCTCAAAAATAAAACTCGTTGTAAAAAAGTCCACTACAAATGTAACTTATAAATTTGAAAGGTATAATAGTAGGCATTGTTTTAATTTCCTGTTTTTTACGCATAATCTGTTTCATTTGGAATGTGCGTGGAAAACTCTCAAATGCTGCAGACCATTGGTGTCCCTTTCCGATCACTACTATCTTGAGAAATTGTGAAAGTGGTGAATTAGAGAAGTAGGATTTAGAACTCAACTTTAAAAAGGTGTCTGATGTGTACCACTTAAAGTTTGACTATTATCCTGAGCGCGCTCAACAAAGAAATTTGTTCAATGCATTGAGTAATGGGTAACTGTAAAAATCCAATTTTAGTTTTTGGAGGTACAAAACATAAAAGACCACTTCTCGTTTCCTCAACCTTTATCAATTATGTTCGTTCTCGGTTTCTTTCTTCTTCCTTCGTGGATCTCTCCTCATCTAGACACCTTTGCAAAGCACAATTTTTTTTTGTCAACTTTTTGATAACTTATGGGCCCAAAGATTTTATGTGTAAAATGTATTCTGAGGATTACTTTATAGCATTTTCTATTCTTTTGCTTGGATTGCCAAAACCGACAAAAATTAGAAGCAAAAATTTTTGATCCACACTTTAAGCTTCATGGCCTGCTGCTGAATTGCTTTTGGAACCCGACATAGAATTTAACAGTGAGGGTAAGACGTCAAGATCAATGGTATTTTTCACCAGTTTAGATGGCAAGAATCTGACCTCTATTGTTCATCTTCACCATACGGCAAAAAATCCTGCACAGCACGGCTAGACAAAAAAAGTTTGAATTGAGTGAATTGTGAGTTCACAGGGAGGTCTTTTTCCTGTTGTATAGGGCAATTTGAAATAATGTCGAATTTACTATGCAAATTATGGATAACTTGCACATGTTTATGTCAATTATAAAACCCAACTCAACTAGCTAAAGATATTAAGTATTAAATGTCTTTGGAAAATTAAAAAACATTCTACATAGCTTTATCACGCATTTTAAAAACTCTTGCTGTGCCACTGTTGGTTCATCTCTTTCGTCTAAACATTCAAATTTTTTTTTAAATTCTTGTCCACCTAACACCATTTTGCTTTCTAAAAATTACCTATCATGCACCCTGCTTCTGTCTCCGTTTCGCTAAGCTTGCAATCAATGTTTTCAAATAAGATTTTTTGATCCAAACATCAACAGACCCCAAGACATCCAGCTACTATGTGAATAAAGCAAAAAATTAGAAGATTTAAGTAACTGCAAAGCTCCGACAAAGTATAGGATTTGGTGACGAAATAAAAGTTCTAGAAGAAGTTCGTTAAGAGTTATGAAATTTTCTATGACAAAAAATAAAAAGCGAAATGAGACAGAGCAGAAACTACTAGTATTCCTTTTTGCTGATATGTCACAAAATTTGTCGTACTTCTGTACGCACTGGCCTTAGAACAGCAACAAATTTTTCTAAACAGTAGATATTTTTTAGTTTGAACTTTGTCTGTAACCTTGTTTCAAATAAAAAACCTGATTTATCGAGCAACACTGCAAAGGGACACTTCTAATTCATTTGTAACTGCATAATCATTGTTCCATGTTGAGTTTTTACTGAATTTGAAATAAATGCTGTTTGAACAGCATAAATGTCAATATTATTAAAAATCAAAACTTTAAAACAATTGGTACTATAATTTGAATAAAATCAGCAAGTTTTTATAGATCTTGAAACCTTATCCAACTGATTACAGTAGGTACCATTGCGTACGCTGGCGTCACGCCAAGCCGCTTGAAAGTTTCGCTCCAAAAATGCATAGATGTCTGACAGATGGCAAATTAGGTTCTAGTCCGTAGGGTCATTTTCGCATGATTTGAAAGGCTGTTCAGTGGAACTCTTAACTGTAAACATTTTTTTCTATTTCATCAGTAACAGTATCCGGTTGTGGATTAGAGAATAGAAGGATTAACCTGGCTTAAAACATTGTCCTCACGAGAAATATTAAAGGCTGTCAAGGTATAAAAAACCACCGGTACTTTCGCCCTATCAGGTATGCCTAAGAAGTGTGTTGTATAAGTGATAGTTTTTAGTGCCACGTGATCTAATGAGCTATATTTAAGCGTACTGCTGTCGAAGATGCCTTTTTTTACCGTCAACCTTTATTTTTTGTCCATTGGATTTTAGACCGCGCTTGGCACACATGTTATAATTTCTGACTTGCCTAGTAACTCCTCCCACACGTTTCTGCCGATCTGTTGCTGAGGATTATTCTAAAAAGTGCGCCGTTTCAAAAGATCATTTGGGTGTTTGGAATTGGTGTGGCGGATAGCAGCTGTAATTTGTGTTCGCTATCCTGGAAATTTGAAGGTTCAAATCGACTTTTTGCAAAGTAACTAGACTATTAGTAATTTTAAAAAAGTTGACTAGAGGAGTCTTTAAAATCGCCACAGAGGTTTTAAGCGATGTCAAACATTTTTAACACAAAAGATGAAAGTTTATCAGGAGTAGAAAAAAGCACTTGGATGTTGGGTACGCCTAGCTGCAATAACGTCTATGTCAGGTCCTGTACTAAAGCCTCTTCTAACCTGACTTTAATAAGTATTTGTGACGTAGTACTAGGATTGGAGGAAATGCACGAAAATAAAGATTCAAAAATTGCTACAAAAGATGGTCAAATAAAATTTTTTCAAAAAATGTTGAAAAAATCAAGTTTTGTGTTCTAGCGCATTTTTACCAATATTTACACAACGCATGCTTGGTGAGGTCTTAACTTTTTGAGCTGAATTCTTCTGCTTCTTTAATCTTCAATCATACTTGATTGAATAAATGTACGGGTGATATGGGGTGACTTTGTATCCAAATTGCGTTTGCTTCAATTCAGCTGATCAGATACTGGGTGCTGTTGGTAAATCAGGAAGCTTTTTACAGGCTGATGAAAATGGAAAGGCTATAGTGGTATGTTTTTCGACCTTAATTTCCGACGATGTCGACAGTTCAGGACAATGATATGGTCTTCGATTGGAAAGCAGTGGGCAAAGCCCCTGCTAGGTCGTGCTTTTGTCAACCGCAAAACAGCCTTTACAGGGAAACCAGTATTGTGAAGCTGGTTTCCGGACGTGAAGTGATTTTTTTGTTTAATTGAACATGACACTACATATGTTTTTAGTTAAAGGTATTGTACTTACTCTCGCTAGATTTATGGGACATAACTATGTACTTCATATGTATTATCTTTTAGCTATTTGGACCAGTTAAAAAACTGTCAAACATTCGGTACCGTGTCGTTCTTAATACTATGCTACTTCCCAAAGTTAAGGATTGGCGAGGAAATCTTGACTCTTACATGAAACAGTTATGGGTATTTAGAAATATACGATAAATAATTTTTGTGTTACCTGTCTCATTATTGCGAATTAGAGAGCATGTGTTGACAAATCTTATCGGTTTCAGTTTCCTGCTTATGGGGCTTTCAACCGATTCATCCTACGTATTGTGCTTAAATGTTCCAGGTTACTTGAAATTGGTTTGTTTGATGTCAATTTGATCTTCTTTTTTATTTCAAAATTATTTTTAGATTTCTGTAGCTCAGAAAGGATCCTGGTTGTTGCTGTTCTCACCCCGACGTCAATCATCCCAGTAGGTTTTATCCCGACATCTAATTATTGCTTTCAAAATGTATATTATATGTATAGGCTGTTCTATGCCGAATTTTCCCTTCATTTCTCAAATTTTTTTTCAAATTTTGCCGGTTAGTGGAGTCTAGACCAGTATACAGGAAGTCAAAAAAAACATTCGAAAGTGAATTCTCTCCCAAGTTACACGTCCCCAAAGTCGCAAAATATGCCAAGTTGGCGCTTGACATACTCACTTCTGCAGGCCTGTTCTCGATGGAATTAAGGGTTTTAATTATTAGATTTCTCATTTCTTGATTTTTTAAACGCATATCTAATTTTTTGATTTTTATAAAAGATCACATAGATATAGTAAAAGTAATATTTTATAGAGACATTTGAAAGAAACGTCTTTAAATTTTTTAGAAAAAACATGTTTCGAGTAGAGTTTTTTGAAACCAAAAAAAATTTGCTGTTTTCACAGTAACTCCGTGTAATTTACATAAGAGACTGTTCTGAGTGGCTTCTGAAAGATGCAGACATCTGCCATAAAAAACCGGTATGCTTTAAACGTTAGAAATTCGTTAAAAAACTTGTATTTTACTGCGAGATATTAACAAACTATTATCCTGAAGAGTTTTAAGAAGTAGTTTCCATTTTAGTGTTTTCAACTTTCTGTATTTCGTAGTTTTTAGACTCTTAGAATTATGTCTGTGCTGTACCGGTTAAAGTTTTGCTTACACAAGCTCAACCTATTGTTCCTTCTATAGAACCATGTGCTGTAGCTCTCCAGAAACATAGGAAATACAAGGTGAACCTTAACTTAGCAGCTAACCAGGTGAAGTATTAGATTTTAGAATTCTCTATGATTTAAAATGTATACTAGTGTACAATTTGAGCATCGCAAAATAAAAGAAGCAGAAAGCTCTGAAACGAAGACCAGTTCTTACGTGCAAAACAATAATTTGTTAATATTTTGAATTAAAATGCATTTTTTGTAATGAATTTTCAACATTTAAAACATTGGATTTTCATAACAGGCGTCTGCGGCCTTCAGAAGCGGCACCTGGACGGTTTTGCCGTGCAAAGTAAATAGGGTTACTGTAGAACCAGGAAATTTTTTCTAGTTTTATATTCTTTTCTGGCTCGCAACTTTTGATACCAAAAAGTCGCCATTTCAGTGTTTGTTTGAAATATTGTTTTTACTATATCTGTATGATTTTTTATCAGAATTAAAAATTTTGATATGCATTAAAAGGTTCAAGGCATGAGAAATTTAACAAATAAAAAGCTATGAAATTCACTTAATAACGGGCTAAATTAGAAGTCTGCGAAGGTAGGTATTGGCAACCTGGCAAATTCTGCAACTTTGAGGGCGTTTGGCTTGGCCGGGAATTCACTTTTCCAGGTTTTTTTCGGCTTTCTGTATACTGGTCTAGATTCTATTGACTCAGTAAAATTTTAAAAAAATTTGAGATGTGAAGAGAAAAAAGTGTGCAGTCTATATATATATATATATATATAT